TACAGATCCCAAGCACTTCCAATGAAGCTTCTCACCAAACTGTTAGCAAAAAACTGTATTCTCCTAAGAGATGCCACTGAGGCCAATTGCATCACAGCTAGGAATGCTTCCAACCAAAACTGCAGTTTCTCAGTTACAGAATGTGATGACAAATACATCTAAGCTCTGTCTACATGATAACTTCCACCTTCGCAATCCACTCTCAGCCACAAAAGCTCTGAAGAAAAGGCTCAAGGATGAAGTGCCTCACACCAGACCCAGACAGTCCGAGCAGAGCTGAGGCATTCTGCTGCCCTGGCCTCCTAGCATAAAACAAACCCTCCAGCAATGAGCTAAAACAGAGAGGCACTTTGCCTACCTACAGTAGAAGCACAAGACTTTCTTCACCAGTTCATCTACTGGGATAAATAGACATCTCAAAGACAACAAATAAGGATTTTTAAAAAAGTATTAGCTGCCCTTCCAGTTCTCTGTTTTGCCAACCACTGAGAGCTGCTGAAACACTCTCTTGGTCAGGCTAGTCTCCTGGTACCTGTGGGTTTTCCATACCTCTGCAAGCGTGATTCGAGGAAGGGCAGTCGCTCCTCTCTCAAGCTGCCTCCACACAACTCCCCTATTCCTGGTACAAGGAGATCAACAGCTGCAACCTTAAAAGAAAGAAACTTAACATTAAGTCATGCCATGTAGCCATACAGTCTACAGCGGAAGTACAGTTGACACTGGATAGCTGTTTGTAAAAACCTTCTGTAATTCTTTTATTGAGTCCAGGACACTTAAGTAACTATTTGCAAATGCTTGCAAAGTCCCTTGTTGATAGGAGGGAACTTTACAATGATAAACATCAGTAAGTCTACAGAAAACCTAAACAAGTACAGTGATGGTCCAGACTGAGGACATCTACAGCAGGTGGTGTGAACTGAATCCCACCAGGTTATTTTGGTGACCACCTATGCATGTAAGCAAGCCTGTGCAGGGTATAAAAAACCCAAAAGCAGCTCACAAGGAGGCAAAGACACACGGGCAAGTTTCCCAAAGCCCTGTTTTCCTTAGAGTTTAAGCTGCACTGATGCTTGTAACTTGTGTTTACGCTGTCTGCCCCCATTCCTTGAGCCAGCTCTAGTGGTAATGATATGAATAGACCAATGGCACTGATGTGCTGATCCAAGTGTTAGGATCCCAGTGTTATCACCTAAACTGTTAGGTTTGGCCTGGTTTTCTTCTCTGTTTTGTAGAGTTACTTCTCTTATCCCAAAGCTGAACTGTTGCTAGAATTAAAGCCAGTGAAGTGACAGTGGCACACAGTGGGATAGTTCCTCTTTTTAGTAGAATTAATGTTTCAGGTTGTCTCAGTTCAATTGGGATATCACATCTCCAAAGCATGAGACTTGTGGAGGAAGAGTTTACGTCCTGTGTCCATCTGCTATTTGAGGATTACATGGATGGTAGATTTGGACGACAAGAGAATCGTGAACTGCTTGGAGCTAGGCAATTCTAGGCATTTCACCTAGGAGTACAGAAGTTTACCAGGAAAAGGAATAACCTATGGCAAACCTATCTTAAGGGTCTTAAGCAAAAACTTAATGCTATCCAACTCCTGAACCTTCCTCCTCCTGTTGTTCCTGCTTTGGTGATTTCTTCTTTTTGGAACAGGTTTTTTTCCTGTTTCCAGATTTCCTTTTTGGAACAGGTTGCCCAGGGAGGTGGTGGAGTCGCCATCTCTGGAAGTGTTCAAAAAACGTGTGGATGTGGCACTTCAGGACATGGTCTAGGGGACATGGTGGCGCTGGATTAATGGTTGGACTTGATGATCTTGAAGGTCCTTTCCAACCTAGTGTTTCTGTGATTTCTGTGATTTTGTGATTTCTACAACAGGAAGAAGACTGGACAGGATCACCAGATGGTCATGTCTTATTTTGGGCTTCTTGAGTGGGAGGCCCAGTAGAAGACCATCCTCATCTATCTATCAGTAGACTAAGACATGCTTAGCCAAAAAGGAGGTGGAAGTGTGACCCATGGACTCACTGTGTTTTGAGGTCCATCTTCATTGTCCCGCATGTAGAAAGGTTTGAGGTCGTATGGGTAGTTAATGACAAACACAGGAACCTCACCACAGTGCTTCACCAGGTACTTTTCATGTTCTGTTTGGAGGTCACAGCCCCACTGTAAAGACAGCAAAAGGGACCTGGGATCCTGCTTTGGTGCCTCCTGACTGTGGCAAGAGACACAGCAAAATCTCTGCAGAGGAGAGATGTGCAGCTTTGAATAACATGAAACCAAGCACAGCAACTCCTCACGCAGCCCACTGGGAAAATTTGCTAAGCAGACAGAGTTTCATGAGTTTTAAGGCAGAGCAAAGCAATGAAAATAACATGGTTTATCTTCCACAGAACAGGGCCAGATCATCCCTGCATCAAGCCCAAGCATCTGGTATCAAATCATCAAAAAAACCAACCAATCAACCAACCAACCAAAAAACACCAAAAGCACCCTCCACATAGCTTAAGGGAAATAGGCACCTATCCAAAATCAGCTTACTCAACCCAGCAAACCAGCCTTATTTCAGTATTACCTCCGATATACGGAAAACAGCTTTGCTAGGCTGACTGCTCTCTTCCCTGCTGTGTCCTGTTACATGCTACATTAATTCTCACTTAAGAAAACCCAGCATCCTATCAACTAACTCTTTGTTATCAGAAACCTTAGACATTTGCAATGCCCTTCACTTCTCCTTTCTTCCAGTGATGTTATAAATTCTGTGGCTTTTGACTACAGACCTTCAGCCCACTTTAGGATGTGCAAAGAATATTGGGGGAGTGGAAGGGGAAGAGAAGAGGGCAACAGATATTCTGCACTCTCTTCATCTGAAAATATTCTGAGTTTGCTCTCAGATCAAGGTAGTACAGATATAGGATTTGAGGTCCTGCACCCACTTGTACACAGAGATGAGACAGTTACCCAACCGTCCACGAAGGAGGCTTTGACCAGATGGTTATTTTCCTCAGAATGAGATTAAGATTAATCAGTATACACGAGATGAGCACCACCACAAGTGCTCTCCCTCTGGTGTGTGTGTTTGAAATAAGGCAAAATATGATTTTTAGAAAACCATAACCTAACAGTGTTAGAAAGACTAGCATGTGATTCTTATTCCCAGTCAACATCTATGCTTTGGAAAGACAAGGGATTCCCTTTACCTACATCTACATTACATGGTATTTTGACATGGTTTTGGCTTTTTGTCAGACTTCTGGTGCTATTCTAATATAATTCCTTTATTTGAGGACTATTGCAGCAACCCTCTTAGATGGCTGCTACTGAATCCACAACACACTTGGCACTACTCGGATACAGGAAAGAGAAATGCTTTTGACAAAGCCTGGGTCCTTCAACAGCAAGCTCATCACTTCCTTGCAAATGTTACATGTTCTTCTGCTACCAATCTTACTCCTTCTACTACTCCCATTTCAGTCCCAAAGGGCAAAAATAATACCTGGGTCACAACTGAGCAAAAACCCCAGGAGGCAGATAACCTGTGTGAAGTAACAATTCTTGTGGTACCAGAGAGAGAGAGAAATGAGATCTACAGTGTTCAGGCTGGCTGTGTACATGAACAGGCAGAGGGACAAGCCACCAGGCAACTGCCTACCTCTGGCTTGAAAGTGAAAGTTTGAGAAGCTTGCTTCAAAATTTCCACTGCTTCATTGTAGGAAATTCTGCAAGAGGGAAAAAAAAAAAGTCTTTAAGATAACTACGAAAGGAATAACAAGAAAGTTTTCTGGCTAAGTGCTGCACTGGAAAATCAATGAGGCATTTCCCCACCACTATGCCAACTTGTGCTGTGATGTCAGACTTCCCAGCAATGCTGCTCTGGACAGAAACCAAAAACCATTTTATATGGCAAGAACCCTGTTTTCCTGTGCTTCAGCTACATGCGGGGCAGGAAGTGCTAAGCTCTCAAGACACTTTTGCATTATTGCAATGATGCATTTCAGTCAGAATTGTGTTCTGCAGAGAATTGCTTCCTAGAAATTTGTAGGGTTTTTTTTTTAAAAGAAAACAATGTGTCCTCATCGGCATAGCTCCAACAACATAGCTCTGCTGTTGAGGATGGTGTTAGGTAAAAATAACAGCCCAGAGCACAAAGGGCTTGTAGCTCAAACATCTTCGTTTTACTTTGAAAAGAATGTGAGATTTATTTGCAGCAATGTTTCTCAACTCCTCTGACAGATCTGAGAGCAGGTTCTCCACCAACTTCCACCAGTACAAAAGAACAGCATCATGGCAGAGCAAACAGAAAAAGTGCAGTGAGAGATACTGCAGGTCTTGATAAGTGGAAATTAACACTCAATGGAAGATACTTTTGCGGACAAGTTTTTTGCATACCAAGCAAATGTTGCAGACAGAGAGAAGAAAGAACCTGATCACAATAATTTCATCTCTCTGACTAAATCAAATTATAAACCGAATTCCCTAAAGAGCACAAGCTCTTTACACCCAGCTACAGGGTTTCACTTATACAGGGAAGGCTTTTGGAGGAAATACCTCAGGAAGGAATATATTGCTCCATGTGTTTGGGTTATGCAAGGCCATGATCCAAATGAGGTCTATCACTGGCACAGGTTCAATGCATGTAGGTGATATGTGTAACCCAGGAATGTCCCTGATCTGCCAGCAGTCGATGAAGAGAGAGACAGAGAGGGAGAGGAGGATGGGCTGCATCACTTTCTTTTTCCTTGGACCGTGGGAGAAGCTGAGTGAAACTCTGCCCTCTCAGGAATATCAGTTAGGTCCAAAGAGAGAAGGACTGGTATGGGGAGAGAGTGACTTCACTGAGGTCTCCCATGGTGTCTGTTCAGGCACAAGGAGGATTTATCATGAACGATCCTGTTGCCCAAGTGTGGCTATAGCTGCTTAACAGGAAAACCAGCACTGGGCTGAGCAGCCCTACAGTGTTCTTTGGGATGGACAGTGCCACTATTTGAAGAGATAGGAAAGAGTAGGGAAGAGGAGACATTCAGGGGCCAAGGAGGGAAACCAAAACCCTTCAGTTCTTTAGCATGCAGGGAACTGGGAAAAGGAGTTGCACAAGCAACCAAAATAGAAAACCAATTGGGATTTTTAAATATCAAAAAATAGTTTCACAAAAAGGGAGCTGTTAGAGTGAAAGTGTGAAGGAAGGCAGAGCACCAAAGCCAAAACCAAGCAAGACAGTGAGCAAACCACTGTACAGGTATGTGCTGGAAGAAGGATACCCTGACAGAAAGAGAATATTGTCCAGGGAAGCAAAGCCAAAGGCCAGCAGATTCAGATGCCAGTGTCATGCAGAGATGAGAGGACAGTTGGCGAACAGTGCAAAGGGAACAGCAATTCACGCTTTTGCAGAGACATGATGCTAACCCCGAAGACATTGAGTTGGGAAAGAAAAAGAACCTACACAAAATAGGAACCTTTTCCCCAAAAGCCCTCTTCCAGATAATTTTCAGAGAGAAGAACTTACGTCACAAATTTGTTCTTCAGCGTTTGTTCCAACCTGTCCTTGGTCAAAACAAGAGAAAAAAAAAACGTAAAGCTACTTTTAAGAGTTGAGGGGCTCAGAAGAAACTCAGGAAAGCTACCTCCCTCTAAGTTTTGATTTGTAGGTCTGCACTGTGATCCAGATAGGGGCCAAAATCCATTCCCAGCCATTCAGTGCTAAAAGGGTACCTGATTTTTGGAGCTCATGATTCAGAGGCTGCTAGATGATGTGACAGCTACAGTTCTACCACACTTGCTACCAGCTACAGAAAGCTGTGCATCCTCTCTGTGTTGGACTGAACACTCACTTAAGCTCAGACTAACTTTTAGCTCTTCACATTTTGTTAACGTAGGACAACACAGTAAAAAAAAGTAAAAATAAAAATTTAAACCTCCCTATAACGAAAAGCCCCCAAAATGTGTAACAGGATTGCAGCTCTTTCATGTCACAATTATTACCTTCTGGGCAGGAGATACGTATTTATGAAAAAGCTCAACATCACGAGGACATTTGGAGAACACAGTGCTTGTTGCTGTCTTGAAAAGATCTTCCATAACCTAAAAGAGAAAACAGGAGTGCATGAAAAATGATCACTGCTTAGATGTCCCAGACTATAAATTAAACACGGTACACATCAGCCAAAGGGTACAGAAGGAGCTTCTGTCGTTCTGCATGGTCAGACTGCATAAAAGGGTACCAGCTTGCTAATGTTCCTAATTAGCAGGCTTGCTCAGTAGCTGAAGAGGACTGGAACTTTTGTTTCTGCTATGGGTTTAGTGCTTCAGCACCTACTGATGGATTCAATATCTTCAGTCAGGTATCTCCAGTGAAAATAAGCACAGCTAAAATATTAAAGCAGCAGTCCTGGTCAGCCACCACACACAGTACCATCATTTGTGGTGACTGGTCCCAGATTAATTATGAGTGAGGTGCCTTTCCTGTAATAAGCAATTCTGGTTTTCTGCTTTGTTGTTACAAGAGGCAGAACTAAAGGAGAGGAGAATAAACATGTACTGTGCAGAGCCAGCCCATCAAACAGATCCCAGCTAGAAAGACTCTGTGCAGAAACAGCAAAGCAAACTGAACACGTACAGAGACGAGCAGAGAGCTGAAGTGGAGGACACATCAATGCAGGGACGTTTGAGAAACTAAAAAAAGATGTGGTTTCATTTCCCTAAACTAATGTGGATTAGCTAAATGACATTATCATCCAATTTGGATATACTTACCCAGTAAAATGGGCTTCACCCATTAAGAAATTAAAATGTAATTTTGGTTATAAACAAAAAAAGCCCCCACATGGGATGCCACTGCATTTTGATCAACCCGTTTTAAGAGTAATTTTCTCTTTTGGTTAAGCAAAGCAGATCATCCAAGACACTTGCTGTCATGCAGATTAAGAGTTTCCATGACTGCTCGTAGTCCCTTGCCTGCACAAAGCAGGTAGCTGATACCCATTTAGTACTGCCGATCCCAATTCTTCTTCAAAATCACCCCCTTACTCTCATCTCCTTTGTAAGCCACAGGGCAATGCAGATGGGCCACATGTCATCTCAGCCTGGGATGGCACCAGGTTTTTCCCAATAAAAAAAGTCCTGGCACATTCATCATTTTTTTTTCCTGTGAGCCTAACAACTGCTTCATTAACTGCAGAGTTGAGAGAAGCAAAGTATCCACCAACGATACCTAGGCGAGTAGCAGTCCCTAGACACCACAAAGCCCAGAGGAGACTAACTGCCAAAAGATGAACCTGATTTCCAGTCAGCAAATCTGAGGAAGAGGCAGGTCTCTGCCCTGCAAGGAACCAGACCTTACAGGAAAGAGGAACAAAATGCACAGAAAAGAAGAAGCTGGGCTACTGACATAGCCAAGAGAAGTCTTCAGGCATGGTTGTTCAAACTCTCATGTTTAGAAGTACATCCTTCATCACCTGTCCCAAGCTGCTGAAACACTGCTCTGAGCTGATGAACAACCTCTGCATTTTGCCAGCCTAGAGAAGCTGGTAAACCAGTCGATTCTGACTCCTCTGGAGCCAAACTCAGCCTTCAGACTCCTGCATCAATCTGGGCTCTCTGTTTAAAAAGGGAAGATCCAGATAAAGGAACAGCATTACCATATGCAGATGAACGGTTTTACCCCTACTGGTACTCAAACACAGAGGAAATGAAAAGCAAGCATTCCTTCTGCTGAGCAGCAAATAAGCAGTCAGCTTTGAACTTTCTTCAAAGTAGCTAGAAAAAGGCTTATGCAAATGAAATTAAGAAAACTTCTTGGCAATTCATCTGGTTTCACCAGGCAGAGACGAAGGGATTTTACATTAAGCTTCCTCTTTCTAGAAAATGAAAGTATCATCTGTTTTCAGAAAAGCATGTTGTTTAATTAGCACTTTTTTTCCTCACTGTGCGATAAAGTAACAATTAGGTTCCCACAGTATTAAACATAAGTAGCTTCCTCTTGTGGAAAAAAGATGTGGGTGGTATGGGAAAAACAATCTGAGAAATATTTCCAGGTTTGAGACTGATGTTTTATCCTGGCAAAAAAAGGACACACATGGTTCATGCATTGGTCTCCTCACTGCTCTTATTTATGCCAAATGTGTACTAGGCACGAACAGTGGAGGGAAAAAAGAAAAGGGGAGAGAAAAAAAAAAGCACTCTCCAAGTCAGAAGGTATGGCTTTAAGCAGATAATATAATGAAGGACTGGAAAATGGGCTACATGAAAAAATGAGTGGAGAAGCATAACCACTGCCTTGCTGGTTTGAGGGAACGTGAGCTGAAGATATAGGCCAAGTGATTGGTTTGAATGTATCCTGTAAGAAACGTGCTTGATAGAATCATATCACAGAATCACAGAATCATTAAGG